AGGGAAACCCCTATTGAAATAAGGCTGGTGTTTTAGAAATAATCCTAAATGTGGAATGATCTCCAACAGAGATTCCAAGTGTTATGTAAAATGCTGCAAGCACATCATTTTGTCCCTATAAATAAAGTACAGCATTATCTGGTTAGCTACTATTTTGTCCCCTTTTCATCTAAATTGTGCAGATTTTATTATGATTTGTACTCTGTAGAGATGATTTTTCATTTTTATTGATGTTTTGCTGTTCTCTCTTGTTTCCAGTGATGGCTACGCTCCAGTTACCAGCCACCAACCTGGCAAACTTGGCAAATTTACCACCTGGCACCAAACTCTACCTCACCACCAACAGCAAGAACCCTTCAGGAAAAGGAAAACTGCTTCTGATACCCCAAGGAGCCATACTGCGAGCCACAAATAATGCTAGTTAGTCTTGCAGGGAAATCTAATGAGTTAAATAATGTAATCATTTTGTAATTAATATGTTCAACATTTTGCTTTTGATTCTGGTGCCGTGCAAGTTCGTAGGGCAGAGCTCTGTTAACAGGGGCAGAGCTCTGTTCACTTCAGTTTCAATGAGTTGAGATTAGTGGGAGAGGCGCTGGGTTTCTTGAGAGTAGGGGAACTCAGTGCCCAAGATGAGTGGGCTTAAGGAGACGATATTCAAGGCCCAAGGGGTGACAAAACAAGAAGCAAGGTGGGTAAGAGTACCCAAAAGCCTCCCTGGCTCACCAAGGGCATTTGTGAATGCCTGATTGCCAAAAAGGAGGTGTACACCCGGTGGAAGGGAGGAGGGACTATAACCAAAGAGGAGTATACCTCCACCGCTCGGGTCTGTAGAGGGGCTATTAGAAAAGCTAAGGCAGATACGGAGCTAAGGCTAGCGTCAAGGATCAAAGATAATAAAAAGTCCTTTTTTAAATATATAGGGAGAATGAAGAAGGCACTGGGTAATGTGGGGCCCCTGCAGGATATGTTTGGCAATCTGGTGGTTGCACTGAGGATAAAGCAGACCTCTTTAACAAATTCTTCACCTCCATTTTCCTGTGCAGGGACCGGGACTCCCCGACCAGGATTCCAGATGGACTCGGGAGAAATGCCTCCAGGCCTAAGGTCGGGGAGGACCGGGTTAGAGAGCTTCTGGAGGGGCTGGACGTGTTCAGATCAGCAGGTCCAGATACTCTCCACCCCAGGGTGTTGAGGGAATTGGCAGGGGTTATTGCGGGGCCCCTGGCATGGCTTTACGAGCACTCGTAGAGCTCTGGCCAGGTGCCAGATGACTGGAGGAAAGCCATCGTGGTCCCCATCTTCAAAAGGAAGAGGGAGGACCCAGGCAACTATAGGCCCATTAGTCTTACTTCAATCCTGGAGAAACTCTTTGAGACAATCATCAAGGAGCACATCTGTGATGGGCCGGCAGCAGGGATGATGCCCAAGGGCAACCAGCATGGTTTTATTAGGGGCAGGTCCTGTCAGACCAGCCTGGTTGCCTTCTACGATCAGGTCACAAAAGCATTGGACGCAGGTGTTGCGGTGGATGTAGTCTTTCTGGACTTCAGCAAGTCCTTAGAAAATGTCTCCCACCCCATTCTCATCAAAAAACTAGGTGACTGTGGCATTGATGCCTACACAGTCAGATGGATTGCAAATTGACTGAAGGGTCATACTCAGAGGGTAGTGGTGGACGGGTCTTTTTCTACCTGGAGGGAAGTGGGCAGTGGAGTCCCCCAGGGCTCGGTCCTTGTGCCCACACTGTTCAATTTTTTTATTAGTGACTTACTTGGACGATGGGGTAAAAAGCAGCCTGTTTAAATTTGCTGATGATACCAAGGTTTGGGGTGAGGTGGGCACGCTAGTAGGGAAGGACAGATTACAGCGGGACCTGGACAGGTTACGGGGTGGGCTAACGAAAATAGGATGGGTTTCAATACTGACAAGTGCAAGGTGCTGCACTTGTGCAGTGGGAACCAGCAGCACACTTATAAGCTCAGAAACTCCCTTCTCGAGAGCACGGTGGCAGAAAGAGATCTTGGAGTCATTATTGACTCCAAGATGAACATCGGCCGACACTGCGAGGTCACGGTCAGTAGGGCTAACCGTACCTTGTCGTGCATCCACAGATGCATCTCAAGCAGGGCCAAGGAGGTGATCCTCCCCCTCTATGCGACACTGGTCAGGCCGCAGCTGGAGTACTGTGTTCAGTTCTGGGTGCCGCAATTCAGGAGGGATGTGGACAGCATTGAGAGGGTCCAGAGGAGGGCCGCCCGCATGATCCGGGGACAGCAGGGCAGACCCTACGAAGAGGCTACGGGACCTTAACCTGTTCAACCTTTGCAAGGGAAGGCTGAGGGGGGACCTGGTGGCTGTCTATAAACTCACCAGGGGGGACCAGTAGGGTTTGGGAGAGACCCTGTTCCCCCTAGCACCCCCCAGGGTAACAAGGAATAACGGCCACAAATTGTTAGAAAGCAGGTTTAGACTAGACATCCAAAGGCACTACTTCACAGTCAGGGCAGCTAGGATCTGGAACCAACTTTCAAGGGAAGTGGTGATGGCTCCTACCCTGGGGGTCTTTAATGTCTGGCCTGGAGGCTTGATGTCTACCTGACCGGGGTCATTAGAGCCCGGTTTTCTCTCCTGCCCAGGGAAGGGGTTGGACTTGATGATCTACAAGGTCCCTTCCGACCCTACTTCTATGAATCTATAAGTGTGATATTGTTTTGTTATGAAGTGGGATCTTTGAGTGTCACTCATTGTAGTAGAAAGCTGTCTTTCATTTACATTTCCCTCTTCCCCTCTACCCCCAAATCTTTTACAGCAGTAACTGTTCACATAGTCACAAATTAAGAAGAAAGTTAGAGCAAGACAGCATGTTCCTCCTTAGAATCCAAAGAAGGGAGTAAAGGGCATATTCATGCAGTTGTGTAAGAAATACAGTATAACCTCATAAATTCAGCATCCTTAGGACCTAGCACCTGCTGGAAATTTGAAAATTCCGTATTTTTGAAACATAAGGAAAGTGCATAGCCTGGTGTTGCCTGGCTGGTCGGACTCGGGTGGGGAGGGGAGGGGGGAAGCTTGCATGTGGCAGCTGCTGCTGCCATCCACCACCCTGCGCCACTGCTACCCCCCCCACCCATTCCCCTGCTCCGTGACTGGCCACCAGCGGTACACTGGTCAAAAAAAGTTGAAAACCCCTGATGTGTATTTTTAAAAAGTGATGGATTTTTGAGGATTCTGGAATTCTGAAAACTGGATTTATGATGTTATAATGTAATAGAAAGGGATCTCATGTATTCAGTGTGATGCGTGGTGTACAGGAGCAGATTGCTGGGGGAGAGGTTCAGGTTTCATCAGTGAAAGTTTTCAATTGTGGGCTGGACAGCCATCTGGCTGGGATGGTATTGGATGGGAATGATCCTGTTTTGAGCAGGGGGCTGAACTGGACAATCTCTTCCAGACCATTGTTCTTGCAAGAGAGCAAATTTTACTGAAACAACAAATCCCTTCCTAATTAAGCTGTTTTTGGGTGGTGATGGAACTTCCCTAGCTTGGTACTTCAGTACCAAGTCCTTGCCAGTGCTGGGCTAGACATACTCCTGCACTGGCAGAGAAATAGACTGTTCTGCTTGAAGTCTCTGAGGTTACACAAATGTCTGTGATTGTCTGGCCCTGTAACTTGTTTTGCCTACTGTTTTATTAGATAAAAAAAATGAAAATAGGACTGATTCCATGCTACTCCTAGCATAAGCATAGCAAGATTCAAATATGCCTGTAATTCATCACTGTGGGCAAGTGCTCAAGTAACTACTGAAGTTACATTTGAACACTTGGAGCAGTGCAGAAAAGCCCTCTGTGTGTTCCCAAGGGTCTTCAGGCCCTGTTAGTTTGTTCCCAGAGCTTGTGGAGAGGTGGGAGAGCACCATACCACCCCCTGAATCATACTTCTGGTACAGCGTCAGACAGTCGAGGGCCATGTTTGTGTATGGATTCCACTTACAGTGGCCTTAAGGTATTCATAGATGTTTTGTTTCCTGCCTATTCAGAGCTGTTGCTGAGCGGTCATGGTAGATGCCAAGGCAGAATTTCTTTCTTGCTTCTACAGCTCTAGTAGGATGGCTGCTCCATATCTGTTGAAGACCTAGAGAGGGTCATTTGCTTTATTTTTTTGTTGCAGATCTCCAGTCAGGCTCTTCGACAAGCGGAGGAGCTGGAGGAGGAAGTGGAGGAACACAAAGCACGAGTAGTGGCTTGTCCCAGCATCTCACCTACACGTCCTACATCCTCAAACAGACCCCACAGGTCAGAGTTGTATAATTTTTCAGGATACGCTTATGTTAAAATGTCAGTTGTTGAAAACGCACAACTCTTGTGCAGACACTTTGTAGCCCTGAGTTAGATGCAACTTTCACTAATTCTGGGGTGCAGACCTTTCTGGGGCGCACTCACCTCAGTGCTGTATTGCTCTCCTGTCTCTGCTGCTGTCCTTTCCTCTTGTGGGGCAGTGTACCCTGCGGAAGGGAAATACAAGAGGATGAAAGCTAGGAGAGAAATGGGGCAAACAAAACAGATGAGAAATGGCAGTTAAGACATGGAACGGTAGGAAGGATTACAGGATCTGCTAGGCCAGTCTGTCACAAGTTTTGAAGGGGTGGAGGGAGGCAGCATCTCCAATCTTGAGTGTAGCTGGCGTGGATTCATTTGTTCTATGGAGACTGCCCCTTTGAAACTTTATAGTTTTCAGAGCTGAAGGAAAAATTTCCCCAATCCTTTTTCTCTATTCTTCAGCAACAGTTTTTTGCAAAGTAAATAATATATGTCACAGTGAGTAAATTGTGAAGTGTGTTAATTACAACAAACATCTGCAAACAGATTAGAAACTGGCTTGTTGGCTCTTCTTTTGGGACTCAGACCTTCATCATGTTACAAAATATCATTCTACAGCAAGAGGAGTGGGCTGCCTGTAGCTCTAAGCCCAGAAACATCTGTAATTAATTGCAACATGCTTTTTTATTATTAAATAAATCAAGTAGTTATTCTACTGAGGTGCTTCTAGCCCCATGAATGTTCAGACCACTGGGCAGGATGAAAAGATCTCTGAAACATTTTTTGTAATAGTCTTCACCGAACAAGGGGAGAACTGTCATATTTCTTTGTAACTCTAGATAGTAGTAAATGTTGATTATTCCCATAAGCGACCAGAAAGGCAATGACATTTTGTCTGAAATAAAATCTCAGGCCAGAGGGAATGTTCACACGTGTCTCTGTAGTGTTACAGTTGCAGACTTTTGGGGGGTTTATTTTAATGTTCCTAGGTTTCCAGTGTCCCCAGTTATTTTGTCTCCAAGGTTAACTTCTTTTTGGTTCAGGGCACGTTTTTGGTTGGCCAGCCTTCTCCCCAGAGTTCTGGAAAGCAGTTAACATCAACGTCAGTTGTCCAAGGCAATGTAGGTGTCGGAGCATCTTCCACCCAAGGACAGCAGGCATTAAAAGTAATAACTGGACAGAAAACAGCTTTATTTACCCAGGTAACTTGCAAATAACATGTTGCCTTTATTGTACAGATGTATTTTGCCATGGAGTATTGTAACTAGACCTACAAAATCCCTTGCCTTTGCTTTTGTTGGGTTAACAACTGGTTTTATTTTTGTGTCTTCATTGCGACAGATTGGTTATTAGAAAAGAAAAGTTAAAGATGACAAAGCCTCCAATGAGAGAGTCTTGAAAAAGAGAAAACAAAATCGCTTCTTATTGTCTATAAATGTATTGGGCTAGATTTCCAGGCAGCAACGTGTTAGTTTATGCAAGTAACGATTGGACACGTCTCTCACTTGTACTTGTTTGTACCCATAGGTCAGGCAATGTCAGTTGCCCCTATTTCCTGATTTGCAGATCTACTCAGAATCGCCTTAGTGGTCTCTTGCAGGTGCAAATCAATTCATGGTGCAGAACCATCCAGTTATTTGCACCTCCAAAGCTGGAAACCAGTGAAAGCTTGTCCAAAACTTTGATCTGTAGACCAAAGGCTTTCCAAAGGGAGGGATGAGCTTTGAGGGGTATCAGACTTGAGACACTCCGAAGGTGCCTTGTTTTCTGAGGGAAGTTGCTTAGCATTTCATAGAGTTCTTACTCTCAAAATTGCTAAGTGTCCTCTCTCAGAAAACTAGGCTTCTTTGGGTGGGTCATGTGGCTTCACAAGCATCTGTTCTCCCTGGAACACTCATTGGTTTTGCTTTGTAGTATGAAAAGTTTTTTGTTTGTTTGTTTTTAAAGGAGTTTGATATTTTGATGTTTGTCATTAAATTGTATTTGATTTCAAAGGCAGCTCCCAGCGGACAGGCATCGCTGATGAAAATATCAGACGGCTCCTTAAAATCAGTGCCGGTTTCATCCCAGCTCTCCAAACCTGGCACCACAGTGCTCAGAGTATCTGGAGGGGTGATCACTGCAGCCACCACCCCAGCCATGTCCCTCCCTGCAAATGGTGTTGCACAGGTGAGAAGCAACCTCACTAGTAAGGGATAATCGGGAGTAGAAATCAAAGGAAAACATTCAGGAGATAGGTACAAGACATGCCACTTTGCTGTGCATGTGCATAATATCTTCAAACACTTCTGCTCTGAGCAATTTTGTACTCTTGGGCTAGCAGAGCTTTTGTTTTACTATGAAATATACCATGCATCTGGACTCCTCCTAGTTCAGGTCACCCACAGCCTCCAACAGAGAAGGAGGAACAAACTTTGTTTTGTGTTGTATTGTCATGTATTATTGCAAAGATAAAAACTTTAAACTGCGCACATAACTGCTGCAGAACGAAAATCAATTTTTAATTCCTAAGCCATAGAATCCTGAAGAAATGACTTTGCTGTTTTTTCCTTCAGTGCTTGGCACCCTTTTTTACTGCAGTGTTGTTGGCTTTAGTGTCTGCCAGGTACTGGTGTCCCTGTCCTTTCTTTCCTATCCAACGTAATTCAACTCATTGTTGCTGGCTTTTTGCTGTTATGAGATAGAAGCCAGCTTAACTAATTAGGTTTTGATAAAACTTGCGTTTCCTCTGCTTTTAATGTTTCAGTGCCGCATTAAACTGACTTCTTATCTGGTGACTGTCTATTTGGGGTATTTTTTTAATCTCCATCACAGGCATGCAGTGCTTAAATACTGCTGTCTCAATGGTGAGGTATACAGGGGCTGAAATTGGAGCTTGAACTTAACCTTCTAATGAGGTTTGATAGAACCTGTGAATGTCACCTACATCTTTTTCAAAATATAGATTAAATCCACTGACCTTTGGAAAGGATTGCTAAAAGGAAGTATTTTGCTTTATATCCTAAAAAGGGTCAGATTTTGGAGTATTCACCTTTTCAAATACCAGTGGTGCCCGAGAGCGGGGAACAAAAGTATAAGTCATTACAGAAAGACACAAAAAAGTTAAGGGCAGAAGACACGGCACTGTAAACCAGCAGCAGTTAGACTTATGTATTGCTCATTTGAAATAGTTGGCTCCTAAGAACTGTTTGGGCTCTGATCTGCTACAAACAGATGTCACGGGCTGGAAGCACGCAAGATCTGTGGCCTCCCCCCAAGTCTGGCAGCATTCTAAGTGTCACCGTTCTGTCTGTTCCTGGGTAAAGTAGTAATAACACCGTGCTGGCAAGAGAGACATCCTTGTAGTGGTGCAGCAGGCCTGAAATCAGTCCTTTCAATTCCAAGAGTTTTGGGAAAGAAACAGCTGATCATTTTGAAATTCTCTTGAGCGTTGGAATAGATCTAGCTGACTACCGAACAGATGCCATGTCCAGTTTGGGAACTTAAAGCATATTGGTAAAATGCCATTTCAAAAGTGGCAGCTTTCCTCCTTGGAAATTTATCCTTGAAAATAAGTCAGTCAGATGCATCTAAAAACTTAACTCACTTTTAAAAAAATCTTCTTTCATTCCTTCTGAAATGGTGTATATAAAATATTATAGAGCGCCTATGAACCCCTTCCTTCTTGTGTGCAAAAGTAGTGACACAGGGCATTTCTGGCAGTCCTGGTGGATTAGGAACAGTCAGCATGGATTCATCCAGGGCAAGTCATGCCTGACCAACATGATTGCCTTCTATGATGAAATTACTGGCTCTGTGGATGTGGAGAGACGAGTGGACAAGGTACACCTTGACTTTAGCAAGGCTTTTGGTATGGTCTCCCACAACATTCTCACAAGCAAACTAAGGGAGTATGGTTGGATGAATGAACTGTGAGGTGGATAGAAAACTGGCTGGATCATCAGGCTCAAAGAGTAGTAATCAATGACTTGATGTCTAGTTGGCAGCCAGTATCAAATGGAGTGCCCCAGGGGTCAGTCCTGGGGCCAGTTTTGTTCAATATCTTCATCAATGACCTGGAAGATGGCATAGAGTGCACCCTCAGCAAGTTTGCAGATGACACCAAGCTGGGGGGAGTAGTAGGTATGTTGGAGGGTAGGGCTAGGATTCGGAGATACCTCGACAAATTGGAGGTTTAGACTAAATAAAGTCTCATGAAGTTCAATAAGGACAAGTGCAAAGTCCTGCACTTAGGACAGAACAATCCCATGTACTGGTACAGGCTGGGGACCAACTGGTTAAGCAGCAGCTCTGCAAAAAAGGACCTAGGGATTACAGTGGACAATAAGCTGAATATGAGCCAACAGCATGCCCCTGTTGCCAAGAAGGCTACTGGTACACTGGACTGCATTAGTAGTAGTGTTGCCAGCAGATTGAGGGAAGTGATTCTTCCCCTCTGTTCAGCACTAGTGAAGCCACATCTGGAGTACTGTGTCCAGTTTTGGGCCCCCCCACTACAGAAGGGTGTAGATAAATTGGAGAGAGTCCAGTGGAGGGAACTAAAATGGTTAGGGGGCTAGGGCATATGACCTATGAGAGGCTGAGGAAACTCAGTTCATTTAGTCTGGAAAAGAGAAGACTGAGGGGGGATTTAATAGCAGCCTTCAACTACCTGAAGAGTGGTTCCAAAGAGGATGGAGCTAGACTGTTCTCGGTGGTGACAGATGACAGAACAAGGAGCAATGGTCTCAAGTTTCAGCAAGGGAAGTTTGTTAGCTATTAGGAAAAACTTTCGCAAGTAGGGTAGTAAAGTAAAGCTCTGAAACGGGCTACTCAAGAGAAGTTGTGGAATCTCCATCCTTTGAGGTTTTTAAGAGCCAGGTAGACGAAACCTTGGCTGGGATGACCTTGTTGGGGATGGTCCTGCTTGGAGCAGGGTGTTGGACTAGATGACCTCCTGAGGTCCCTTCCACCTCTAATTTTGTATGATTCTGTGATTTTTCTCTGACCTTGCCTGGGCCTGTCTCTTACCTGGGCCCACCACTGCAAACACTGTCCATCAGTTTGCCCTTCTATCCATAACTGTTTTACAAATAATTTCTCAAATATAAGGTTGAAGGGTAGGGGAGTACAAAGAACAAATCATGCTTTTGTCTAAATTTCTTTACTTATTATGAAGTGACAGCATCCATTTCTAAATAATTGAATGACTTGGCTATTGCTGCAGTTAAGGCTTGGATAAGGCATTATCAAAAATGTTATCTGTTAGTCAAACCAGTGGAGAACAGTATTAAATTAACAAAGTATGCTCCCTTTCATTACTGCTGTTTTTCAAGTTCTGAGCAGCAATGAAATACTCCAGATTTGTGTGCTCCTGTAACCCATCAAACAAGAGGTTTGCTTGCTTGTTGAAATAAAGGGACTTGGTTTTCAGTATTGTTGCTCAGGAAGTTTTAGGAGCAATACAGTGCTTTCTATATGGATGGTGTCTTTTCTTCTGGCTCAGGGCTCCCTATGCAGCTGCAGTGAACCTGACCAGAGATGTCTATATATGGCACTTCAGAGCTGTTGAAGAGCTTGTCACAAGACCATTGCTGTAGACAGGAAGATGATGGATAGATAGATATTCAGGGTTTACCTTTCTTTAAACATTCCTTCATGGCATTATCTTCAAATAGTCAATATTATTTTCAAATGATCAATAAAATGAAACAGCATTTGTGATTACCACCTTTCTCTTTTTAATGCAGCAAGTGGATACTGCAGGTTCCAGTTCATCTTCCATCGTAGGTCCTGTGGCAAAAGTGTCTGGACAGCAGCACCAAATTTGTGTAAACCAGGGCCAATCTGGTTCATCAGTAGCTACTAAAACTACTACGTCTACTGTTGTAAGTGTTGCTTCCTTGGTGACTACACCAGCTTCTGGGTCGGGCAAAGCTGCAGTATCAGGTAATGCATTTCCTGCCTGTCTTTTGTTACTGAAACTTAGATTTGGATCAGAACTCCTTCAGATACCAAGTATAGCAAACAGTAGAATTCAGAGCACCTTTGTTTGTGAGCATTTACCAGAAATTAACTCTAGGTTTCGTAAGTTCTTCAGGTTTATAAAAACATGCCTTCCTAAGAAGAATTTTTAGTAGCTAAAAATTACAAAAATAACAGTGGGGGAAAAACCATTTGAAATTAGGCTTCTTGTGTCATTAGCACATGGAGTTTCTCTGGTTCATATAACAGTTCGAGCTGTCAGTTTGTAGTTAATGAGGAATCTCAGTTGAGGTACCAGTTTCATATTCTTGGTTAGAGACTTATCCAAAATATATACATCCAAATTCGAGAGTAGCATCAAAGGAGGAACACCAAGGAGATTGAGACACAAATATGATGACAGAAATGAGACATGTTGTGGAAACAACAACCTTAATGGAATCAGTAGAGTTGGCAGCAAAGAATTTGGCTCACTGGGTTTGTATCTGGTTTATGTGGCTTGAACAGGAATTCCTGTCTGGAGAGGGGGTGATTGAATGGTTTAAAAAATGTAGAAAGGAAAGGAAACCTGAACTGGATCTGGAATGTTTGAAGTAAATAAGGCAGTAAAAGGATGCGTAGCAAGTAGCTTTCTTTAGTCATTTTTACTGTCTTCTGTCATTTTATGCATGGACTTTGTGTATTTGAGAGAGACTATAAAGCAACTCATTGGGTTTGATCCATGTGGCATACAAAAATTAGTTAAAAAGCTGTATTTTAAATGTAATAAACTTGCTAGTGTGTCTTGCTGTCTTAAATGGCATGATATAGAGAGAAATTGAGATTATAGATAGGAAACGGCACACAGGAATACCAAGAACATATTATGATGTCATTGTGGAGCAGAACTGTAAAGAGTAATTTCTCACTTTATTATATACATTGTAGGTATTTGCATCCCTGACTACTTCTCATTTCTAATTGGGCCACAGTTTTTTTTTCATCTGGCAACTGTGGCCATCTCATCTTGGTTCTGCACTAAGCAGATCAATCTTTATTTTTCTCTGTAGAGAGGTATTATCTGCTCTCTTTGAACCAAGGAATATATTCTTTGAGGGTAACTGCTATTCTAAATGGTTCCTAGCAGAACCAGCTTATAACTGTGGCTTAGAATTGGGCATTTCTTTGGGTTTTACTTCATTACAATTGAACTGCATCTCTGGAATGCTAATTTTCCAAAATCTCGAAAGAAGCTATGCTTTAAAGCAGTGAGTTTAAGCTGTAACAGAATGTTTTCTGTATGAACAAAAACTGGGTGTATAAATTCTTAGGATTTTAATTCTGAAAGGCAGTTTTGAAAAAGGATTTGCAAAGTATGATCAACTTTAGCCATATGGAACATCATCTTGCCCTGCACAGGCTGCCAGAAACATCTGGAAATTTTAAAACTTGCTGCCTTTGCCATTTTGGTCCCTGACACCCCTGTGTATCACACTGTGCTGTAACATCCCAACAGGCACCCCGTGAGCATGTATGGAAGAAATTCTGTTACAGTGGGTCCCAGAGTCTCTACTTGCTTCATTTTTAAGTCCTGGTATGTGTTGCAACAATATGTTCAAGTGACATTTATTTCCCTCACTGTAACCTGCTTTATAGCTTAGTAGTGTAACATCACCGAAATTGTGTGTCCCCCTTTGGAGGGAGAGCTGGTCGGTCTTAGAAGGGAGATACATTGTGGGGCAGTGTGAGAGAAGGATTGTGGGGAAGGTGATTTCAAGTTACTGCCAGAGTGGATAAAAATCCAGATATAACAACACTGGTTTTCCATCAGGTTTTTAAATTGAATGCATTGTCTGTTTTAAAATGTGCTTTGAAACCTAAAGGTAGCCTGGCACTTGTAAGCTGCCTAGACATGTTTGAAAATCCCACTAGGCACCTTTCTGCATGTGCAGGCAGCTGAAGACCTTTCAAGATCTTGCCCACAGTGACTAGAAGCAACCTGTCACTTGTTAACTGCAGTTAACTAATTCCTTTTTCTTATACAAAAAATGTGTAAATACAAAACACCACATAATAAACACTTTTATTTTTCCTTATACGGTAATAAGCAATTTTTATGTTTGGTTTTGAAGTGAAGCTGTGAAGGAGGAGGAGGGAAGAGGGTTGGAGCAAACAGCCATTTGGAACAGGGCCGAGAGAGTCCCATCAGGACTACAGCTCGTTCTCCACGTGGCCTTGGCTCTCTTGTTTTCGCTTTTTCTGCAGCTGCTCTGACTGGCCTCTCTGGCTGATTTTTTCTGTACAGTCTTCCACAGTATCACATAGCGTAGGAGGTGGAGCGAGGGGTGTTAGTAGCCCCAGCTAGGTCCTGTTTGCCTCCTTCCCCTCAGTTAGCAGTCCCTGGTTTCTTCTACTTACAGAGCTGCCTCTGCTACCTGGAGTCTTACCTCTTCAGTCTTATTTAATTTAAAAAGTAATAATAAAATGTTGTAGTTTGTACATTTTAAATTGAATTCCAGTTTTTTCTCCAAAGGCAGTTGGACACAAATCCTGAGAGAAATGATAGCCCATTAAATCAGAAATATGCTATTTACCATTTTCTAAGGGGAAAAATGTACAGTATATGTTGCACTGTTTCTTGAATAAATGTATATGGATGCAATGCATCCATCTGCCTGGCAAATAGAAGTGCCATATGTCCTGTAAAGGCTATATTTGGTCACGAATCAATATGTTTTGATGTTTAGACTAAAAGTGAACCTTTCCTTGGGAAGATAGCTGGAAGTAGAAATGCATAACACGATTAAAATCAGCAATATAAATTGAGGTTCTTTGTTGGCTGATTTGATATTTTAATAACTATTGCATTTTAAAGTGTTGTGATTTTTAAATCAAACCCCTCTGTAATATGCCATAAGCTCTCCTTAGCCTTACCTATGAGGTAATTCAGTCCATATTGCTAACGGACTTGGGAGAACTGGGTCTCAAATTTGTTCTTCACCACAGACTTCTTGTGTGACATCGTGCAAGTTGCCTGGTCTCTTTGTGTCTTATTTCCCAGTCCATAAAGATGGAGATAAGTGCACTGCCGTATTTGAAGCTAAGTATATTAAAGGTAGTAGGGTGCTCTGGTCCTGCTCTAATAGAGTTCATGCAGGTACCTTAAAGAGTGTAATGTACTCCATTTACAGGTTGTATTCAGCAGATACCCAAGGATAGATTCAGGAAAACTGCAAGCCAAATGTTTTAACTACTTTTGTCTTACTTTGGCAAAGAAAGTTCTTACTTGGTGCCTGGCCAGTTTCTTTTAATGTTGTGCAAGCACTGCATTCATCTTTGTTTATGATTGATTAGTATTTTTACATTTCACCTTGCAAATATCCAAGCACCAAACAGCATGATTAGAGTATGCCTGGGTATTTTGACTGCCATCCTGGTCAATAAAATCTTGTGAAATAATTTGCTGTGCACCTTGGCTTGGTAAGAGGATAGCAGAGCTTAGCTTTATACCTCTTTATTACACGTAGAAAGGGAGAAAAATAGTAAGGGATAAACTGAGCTAAGTGCATGATTTCATGTGCCTTCCCTCTTTTTAGGGTTGCTAAAGATCCACTCCAATCAATCTAGTCCACAGCAGGCTGTTCTGACAGTACCAAGCCACCTCAAACAACTTGGTGTCAATACTGCTTCTGGAGGTGTCCAGACCATCCTGATGCCTGTGAACAAAGGTAAAGTGCTTTGGGAACAAAGGGAGAGGATTACACTGCATTTGAAGGTTCCTTCTGATTTAGTATTGATCTTGCTTGTTCTAGGCCAGTGGTCTCTACCACACAGCTCACAAGCAACTTGCGGCCTACAAGGCCACAGACCCTTTATTTGCTTTCCAGAGATGCATGTAATGTCAGGCTGACAGTGAGAGAAAACTATGAAGGTGCTCATCCCATGTTATTTGCTCAGTATTGTTGTACAGAGCCTGGTGAAGCTTGGGATCTACTAGTATCGGTGCACTCCAAATGAACACTTGAACACACTTGCAAAAATGTAGTATATAGCTTTTGTTTCCAATCATCATGTTGTAAAACACTGTATAATTTGCTACCAAGCACAAATATCATGCAAGTGTGAGGTATCTATCTACCTTGGAAATGCATTTTGTAAAATTTCCATGCAACAAGTTTTTTTTCCTATTGCCTTCAGTGATACAGTCTCTTTCTGCCACCAAAGTGTCTGCAGTAACTGCTGTAACTACAGCCAGTTCGGTTGTTCTCAGCCCCTCCACAGCATCTGTCACCAAAGGTAAAAATGAATTTGTCGGTAGGTTAATAGCAGTTACCCAGAAAATGTTTCTGCATGAATACAAATTGCTGCCATAGGGAAGTGGTATGACCCTGTTAGGAGACCTCATTATCTTAGATTCTGTTTTCCATCATGCTCATCTATTAAGTCCTAATAGGATTAGAATGAATGAGGAGTCCATTAGAAGTGTGAACAATGACTGCAGAGTGAGAACTTGCCTACACTAGAGTCCAGGACACTGAAAAGCAGGAGGATGTTTGGAAAAGGCTCCTGTTGGCAGTAAAATGTTCATAGTGCTAACCCACCACTGTGGAAGTGCATGCCACAGCAGTGTGTGTCAATGTGAATGTTGGCACTATGAAAGTAATGATTCAGTAGTGAGGTTTTTGAAGAGTGCTTCCCGGCAGTACCAAATATAAATGACTGTGCCATTCTGGGCCTCCCCATTCAGCTGGGGTAGTGCAATAAACTCTTGTCTTCCAGACTTTGAAATTTGTTGTTGGTTTTTTGTTTTTTTGCTGGGGGTGGGGGGAGTTTATTCCATGCTGGTGCAGACCCAGGGATTCTTGACATGAGAGAGAACCCATTGCTAGGGCACTCACCTGAGAGACCCAGTCCTAGTCCTCATCTTAAACTGGATCCAACAAAGCTTGAATCTAGGACTCCCAGATCCTTAGCGAGTGCCTGTCTGTAAAGTGGTTGGCTTTTCTGAAGTGTGTCTGTCTCCTTTCTCTTACCTCTGAGCAGAATTCCAGCTGGGACCTGAGAAACTTGCCTAATGAAAGTTCTGTTTAACTTGATGACTCTGGTTGAACAGAAGTTTCTTTGAAGTTAAGATGAAGCTTGATTCCTCATGACAAAATTGCAATGCTTTGGTCTCCCTGATGACACAGAGTGGCATTTTCTCACTAAAAACTGTTTTGTCAGACTTTCCTCCCAAGCTCTAAATTTACAGGAGGCCAAGGGATATTTATAGGCAATTCAGTTAAAATGTGATAGTCGTATACAACAACCCTGAAGTGTATACACGCATGTGCGCACACATCCCCCTCAGCAGAAGATACTTTAGACACAAGTATTTCTCACAAAAATGAGTCATGAACATTGTTGGGTGTGGAGTGGAATTTATATGCCATCCTTTCTAACATTAGGCTCATGGCAGCTTACGATAAAAATGCGTAATATATAAAAGAAAGTGGAACATTAAAATAAAAAATGAACAAAATTCTTTAAATGGTGTCCCAGTTTTATGTTGTTTTCTAAATGCCTATCTAAATAGGAAGGTCCTACAGTGCTGCCAGAAGTTGTCCAGCTTCAGGCTCTGCCTCAAGCAGAGGTTTGGCCTAGATGGCCTCCTGAGGTCTTTTCCAGCCTTATTTTTCTATAGTTCTAGTTTGCTTCATCTGTCCAAGGCTCTTCCTTCTTCCACATTGACTTGGGGTGACTCTCTCAAGGATGACCTCCCAGGGTTTTTCATTCTTAATCAGTACTGATAGAGTGTTGATGTATACAGATGAACAAGTATACTGTTTTAAGCATATTCTGCTCCTTGCATATCAGTGTGCATCAGCTGAGCTGATCTAGCTGCTGTGTCTGTCTGCTCTTATCCTGCAGTAAATGAAAATAAACCAAAGTAACTCAACTCAGTTTCATCCAGGGGTAAATTGCCCAGGTTTAATTTTCATTTTGCACAGGATAGGAGCAGATATACAAAATAATTCCTGTGGATTCAACTGAATTGTGGTAAATTCCCTTCTCACAAACGTCTCAAGTAGTGTAATTGTTTCATCTGTCCATGTACTAGCACTGCAAGTTGTAGCGAGAATTCATCCAGACACCAGTGTTGGCATTACATGTCAGTAGTGGTCAATTCAGTCTTCGGACAAATATCATTCAGTGCAGATTTAATTTTTCTTTCCC